AAAAAGGTATTTCCCAGTTTAGAGCACGGCTCTGGTGGCCTGAGGCCAAGCACAGGGTTCCTGAGGAACATAAACTACCAAATCCAGGAAGGGAGAAAGTCTGCAGAAACACAGAGTCTGAAATAGGCTGAGTTATCCCAGAGGGATGACTGCCTGAGGATACACTCTCAATCTGCCCCAAAAATCACCCGCTGCAGCCCGAGGATGACACGAAGAGGAGACATGGACGATGGTGAAGGGCCTGGGTCAGTGCTGGAGGCCGAGGTGGCCTCTCCCAGGAACCCGTCAGTGGTTTTCATCGCACAGAGATGGAAGGGATCTCATCAAGAGTATTTCACAGACCTGCCTGGAAATCAGACAAACTAGCCCTGCCACCAGTGCAGCAGATCCAGGGCTGAATCCTGGGGTAGCCAACTCTGGGCGGCAGCAAGCCCACACCAAAGCCCTCACCACAGGAACCCTGAAGCTCCTGCATTATCCATTGCATTAAGTTACAGAATCATGAATGGTTTGGGTGTGAAGGGACCTTAAAGCCCCTCCAGTGCCACCCCCTGCCCTGGGCAGGGACACCTCCCACCACACCAGGTCCCTCCAAGCCCCCTCCAACCTGCCCTTGAACCCCTCCAGGGATGGGGCAGCCACAGCTTCTCTGGGCACCCTGGGCCAGGCTCTCACCACCCTCACACCAAACAAGTTCTTCCCCACAGCTCAGCTCCATCTCCCCTCTTTCAGGGTCAACCCCTTCCCCCTCCTCCTAGGGCTCCCCTCCCTGATCCAGAGTCCCTCCCCATCTCTCCTGGAGCCCCTTGAGGGACTGGAAGGGGCTGGAAGGTCTCCCCGGAGCCTTCTCTTCTCCAGGCTGAACCCCCCAACTCTCTCAGCCCATCCTCCCAGCAGAGGGGCTCCAGCCCTCCCAGCATCTCCGTGGCCTCCCCTGACCCCGCTCCACCAGCTCCATGTCCTTCTGATGTTGAGGAACTCCAAAGCTGGACACCATATTCCAGGTGGATTCTTATAAGAGCAAAGTAGAGGGGTAGAACCATCTCCCTCGAGTCCACCAATACTCCAGGTGGATTCTTATAAGAGCGAAGTAGAGGGGTAGAACCATCTCCCTCGAGTCCTGGGACTCGAGGTTTTGGTTTCTTTCGAGGCTGTTTCACCTGCACCAGGGCTCGTTTCTGGGGAGAACCAGAGGACTATCTCCACCAAAGTCACAGAAGTGCTGCAGCTTGAGTCACCGAGGAGCGGAGACGAGCCCTCGCCTCTGGCTGGATAAACAAGACTCCAGCATAAACCACCTCCAGCCCTCCATCAGGCCCTCCTCTACAGATAGGCTACGAGTCAAAGAAGCACCCGGATTAATTATGCAAATAAAGGCAAAGAAAAGCATCCTCAAGACGTGGAGAAAGGCACCTGCCTCCACAGGGACCACCTACCCTGGGTGGGATAACATTGCAGGCTTCCCATGTAATACAGGCCATTAATTAATCGCTCCCCCTCCTGCTCCAGCAAGACTCGTACGTGGGAGTGAAGGGGGTGGAAAGTAGCTCCAAAGGGGCCAGAAAAGCTCGAGGGGGAAAAGTTAGGAGGATTCCTGGTCTCATTCCTAAAATAGAGATCCTGCTCCTGCCTTACACCCTCCTTTGTAGAGCATTAAAGCCCCACCAGTGAAAAGCGCAACATAAAAGCAAGGAATTAACTCTCTTGTTCTGCTCCAGCCTAATAAGTAAGAAAGCCAATGCCATTGTTTTAGATCTAAGCCAAAAAATACTTTGAAACCTCAAAAATTAGGGTTTTTTGGAAGCAATTATCTCCCTCCTCTGTCTCCAAGACTAAAGAATACACGGGGCCAATTATTTCTTTGAAGGCTAAATATTTACTCCGAGATGAAATGTGGCAGCTCAGGCTGGAGAGGAATTACCCAGCTCTGATGTCATCCAATGCCTGCGAGTGAGAAAACCCAACTGAAACCAGGTATGAACAAAAACAACAACAAAACCAAAAAGAAAAACAACAACAACAACAAAAAAAGGGTGTTTTCTCCTGGAAAAGCCCTTCAGAGAGCGGAAGGGATGAAGCTGTTTCAGCTCACCTGAGCCACGGCCAAGGCGTTTAGCCTGGCCCTGGCACCCTTCCCTTTAGGTGGCCCTACTCAGGGCTCATTAACGAAGATGCCCGTGTTAATGAGGGCACAAGGAGAGTGTGATCAAACCTCCCTGAGTAAGAACTGGGCTTGTGGAAAAAGCTGCCATCATATTCTGGAGCAAGCCCTACCCTATGGAGCCAGGGGTGGGAACTCCTCCTCACCTCCAGGAGCAATTAGCCTGCAGGCACATGGAGCCTTAATCAATCAATGTCAGCTCTTCTTTTTATTTTTTATTTTTTTTATTAAAAAAAAAATCTCTCTCCCTCCTTATTTACGTCTGACTCCCGAGTTTCAAAGCGCTCTCTGCTTTTGCCCCCTCCAGTCACTATTCTTTCCCAGGCGGAGGGTGCCAAGGGTATAAAATAATTAAAAAAATAAAACAAAACCAAAAAAAAAGCAGTTATGTGTAAGAAACCACCAGCGGCAGGAGCGTGGGGTGACTCATCCCCTCGGCGGAGCGAGGAACAAGAGCGCTCTCTGTTCGGCGGAGCCCGCCTGAAGTTTCAGTTGCGATCCCATCTCCCTCCACGCGTCCCTCCTGACAGCACCATCCCAAAATATCTCCTCGGGGGATCTTCCCATGGGACTTCACTCCGACACGTATTCCCACAGGACTCCTTCTTTGCAAAGCCTTAGTTGTGAGTAAGGCAGTGGGAATTTTGACTTTGTGAAATACCAAGAGGGTGAGTGAGATGCCTCCACGGAGCCAGGCTCGTTAACGGCCAGGCTCGTTAACTCCGACTACGAGTCGTGCCCCGCATTCAATCCGACGGAAGAACTCCTTGGGCTCGCAAGAATAGATGGCCTGGGTCAGAGCAAGAGGTCTGCATGGCCCCACATCCTGTTTATGCCACCCGTGGCCTCTTCTCCACCCCTCAAGCAGAGGGAAAACGCTCCGGAAAAGAAGGAAGAAGAGGGAGAGCCAGTTTCCACCAATGTTTAGATGGTGATTTGCTTTTTTTCCCCTTCCATTTTAGATCCACGACTGCTTAATTCTCACCTGGAGGCATCATACGGTGGGTGCGTAGATGCAAAAATCCAACCAAAATGATTAAGGGTGGCGTGGACTGACACCCAACCAGCAATTACCACGCGACGAGTTACCTCTTAACACTTCAAAATCCCATCTGACCAATGCCCAGATGACAGCAGAGCACGGAAACATCACAGAATCATAGAATCATTCAGGTTGGAAGAGACCCTTGGGATCATGGAGTCCAACCATCTCCCCTACTCTACATAGTCCTCCCCTCCACCATATCCCTCAGTACCCCATCTAAACGTCCCTTAAACACAGCCAGGGATGGTGATTTTGGAGGACTTCATAAAGTAAAAAATGCATCAGAGAAGCAAATATGATTTTAAAGAGAGCAATCCACAATATTTAGAGCACACGAAGCAGGGTCAGAGGGAGTCTGCACCCGAGCAGACCAGTCAGAAGGAGCGCTCAGTGGATGCTGAGCTCCTCTTCTTCCTCCCACTCTTGGTTAAATGAAACGGGGAGTTTAATACCACCTTCCCTCCCCCCAAAGAGCTTCCCCCCATCCTTCTGCCTCTCTCCAAGTTATTCGAGTCCAATTCAGAAATATGAGGAAAGCAAGTGTGACGTTTGGAGGACACAAAAACCAGTGTGGGAAATCACTGGGTGGCGTTTTCCTGCCCTGCTGGGAGCGTGGGGACGGCAGGAACGTACCTGCTTTCCCACGCTCGCCCGCCCGGGCACGTCTCCTCCGCTCCTCAGAACACCTCAAGTGGCAGCTACTGAAGTTATTTTTACAAAAATAAATAAATAAATAAAAATCTCAGCTCTGGGACAACGGTTCTTATCGCTGCAGGCTCTTGTGAGTGTCACTCGTCCTGCTGAGAAGCTGCTCCAAGCAAAGAGAAACGACTCGGCACAAGAACGTGCACAGGAGAGTTGGGCAGAGAGGAACCTGGGGAAGTTCAACAAGGGTGAGTGCAGGGTGCTGCACCTGGGAAGGAAGAACCCCCCCAAACCAGCACAGGTTGGGGGGGACCTGCTGGAGAGCAGCTCTAAGGAGAAAGACCTGGGAGTCCTGGTGGCCAACAGGATGCCCAGGAGCCAGCAATGGGCCCTGGTGGCCAAGAAGGCTTCTCCTGAGGTCCATCAAGAAGAGTGTGAGCAGCAGGTGGAGGGAGGTCATCCTGCCCCTCTGCTCTGCCCTGGGGAGGCCCCAGCTGGAGCACTGGGACCAGTTCTGGGCTGCCCAGTTCCAGAAGGACAGGGAACTGCTGGAGAGGGGACAGCAGAGGCTACAGAGATGCTGAGGGGCCTGGAGCATCTCTGTGCTGAGGAAAGGCTGAGGGACTTGGGTGTGTTCAGTCTGGAGAAGAGCAGATTGAGGGGGGATCTGATCAACACCTCTAAATCCTTCCAGGGTGGGTGTCAGGAGGATGGGGCCAGGCTTTTTCCAGTGGTGCCCAGGGACAGGACAAGAGGGAATGGGCACGAACTTGAACATGGGAAGCTCCACCTTAACATGAGGAGGAACTTGTTTGCTGTGAGGGTGGCAGAGCCCTGGCAGAGGCTGCCCAGAGAGGTGGTGGAGTCTCCTTCTCTGGAGACATTCCAACCCCCTGGACACGTTCCTGTGGGACCTGCTCTGGGTGGCCCTGCTCTGGCTGGGGGTTGGACTGGGTGATCTCCAGAGGTCCCTTCCAACCCCATATAATGCTGTGATTCCGCAGCCAAAAAAAAAAAGAGGATTTAAGATGAAAACTGACCAGATAATGATCAAACACGTGGGGAAATAGCTTCGGCCCAGGCAGCCCTGGGGACAAGGTGAGTTCTGATGAAGTGAATTCATCAAATTGCACATTTGTCACCTCTCACCTGACGCCAGGGGCCGGATCCACTCTTTGCTGTTGAGGTCGAGTCTCCAGAGGTCGTTGAAGGCGGCGTTACAACTGCTCTGCGTGCAGCCCCCAAACACGTACATCGACTGGTTGGCGTCATAGTAACACGCACCTAGGGGAAAGCACACACACACAGATCAGCCAAGTCTCTGATCTTCACGTTTTTTGGGTGAAAAAATGATCCCCTCCCCAAATTTCAGACAGCAGAAAAGCAGACGGGCTGCCCCCACTTACATAAAACCATGGGTCAGCTTCGGGATATCCCTGACCAGTGTAAATCTCCAGCAAGAACCTTCCCAGACAATTATCCCCTCAAGCAGAGCTGCCCCTGAATGTGCAAAGAAAGCTGCCTTAGAAGCTTGTAGTTAATTAGATTAGCTCTGATTAAGGCACTCAGCACAGTTACCTTCTCTAAGCCAGTTCCTATGGTTTATAGGGTTGACAAATTAGACTAAGGAACGGCCCTGTGTACCTAAACCTGGTCACTGATTCTTATTTTCCAAAGTTGACACTATTTCATCCTGTCTCATCACAAAGAGCATCCCCTTGGCATCTCAGGGGAAGGGATGAGGCAGCGAGAAGAGGAACGGGGAGACAACACGGCGCTTGACAACCCCCTCAAAGAAACCCAGGGGAATAAAGAGCTTTTGGCCCCAAACCAGACTCTGCAGGAAATAAAAATAATAATATGCAAACACCTGCATTTGGCAGTTGGTGTGCGGTGGTACCTGGGGAGCTGTGGCAAGAAGGAAATTAAATATAAGATAGAGCAGACAGGACTTAAACGTGTTCAGAGAGTTAAACCTCTGCGATTGCAAAGAGGATTTCCCAATTTCTGCGTTTCCCTCCTCAAATGTAACCAGCCCCGTTGACTTTGTACAACCCCTCGCCTTCCACCTTCTTGAGATCCCTGCAAGGCATCTCCTCCATGTCCTGCCTAACTCAGGAGGAGGATGAGTGCCTGATGGTGATGCTGGAAGAGCAAGATCATCCTTTGGTGGAACAACCTCCCACCAGTTCCTACGTTCACCAGCAGGAACCGGAGTGAAGGTGACCCCAGCTCCTGGGCTGGGTGATGGGGCAGCAGCTTCTTCTGCATCCACACTCTCCCATTGGCCAGGTTTGAAATTCAACCCTCCCTTGACCCAACACAGCCTGAAAAATCTCAAATTCTTGGGATTTCTGTAAAATTCTTCCCCCAGAGCTTTAGCAAAATAAAGGTGAGTGGTGTAGGAAGGACAGGACATGCTTCTTTCTCATGCCTTGATCTGTCGGGTGTTGCTCTGTTACTGCATCTCCCAGGACATATTTAATGGTCTCCAGACACCAGGAATTCAGCATCACACGTGTGGATGGTTCCCAAAACACAAAATCCTGCGTGCAGCCCCTGAGCAGCAGGCTCCGACCTGGATCCCTCCCCCCTGGGCTATATTTAGACAAAGCCAGAAGCACCCAATTTCCTTACAAAAAGGGACCAGACATCGCCCTGGCACTGTCTCAAAGAGGACTCACTGCCTGAATCCCGCTTAGAACTGAGGCATCTCTCCGTAAAGCCCAACTTCATACACATATTCCTCAAAAAAAATGGAATAAAAATCTATTATCACCCTTTAACCATGAGCAGGACCTCTCCAGTGATTCCTCGAGTGTTTATTATCAAGTCTAGCGAGGGGAAAAGCCACAATAAATCATATCCACACAGACACGAGCCAGTTTATAGCAGAAAGACGCAGTGTTTTATGCTCTGGGAACACCAAAAGGGCTCAGAGGGAGCAGGAGCCATGGCCATGACAAGGAATAGGTTGCCCAACATGAAAAACAAGAGGCAAAGTCAACGTTCAGGGGGTAGAACACAGCACAGGGAATCATCTAGGGCTGAGACGGAGGTGAGAAACACTTGTGATTAGGCAGGAGCCCCTCCACGGAGCATCTCCAGGTCAAGGAGCACACAACGACGTAAATAACCAGCACGAGGGAAGCCAAAAGGTGAAGGATTAGTGTGGAAATACCATGGCTTCGACAAAAAGCATCAGTATTTACTCCAGGCTGAAGCAAAAGCAGAGGCAGACGCAGGGCCGGGGTGCGAGTTGGAGGGTTCCTTCCCTCTCTCCCCATCGTGTGCTGCACGCAGCTGCTCACCAGTTAAAAAACAAAAATAGACTGAGATGAGCTGACCTGACGGGACACGGGGCTGGTACTCACATCAAGGCTTTTTTTCTATTCGAAAGAGCAGCAATAAGATAAAAAAAAAAACTCAAAAAAGGAGCATCTGGAGTACAGGGTCAATAAACCCACCGTGGCTCGGTGGGGCACACGATGACGCTTGGTGGCCTTTGCCAAGGGTCCCGTTGTCTGTCCTTGGGGCTTGTCATCCAAAAAGCCAGTGGCTCTCGTGGCCTTGGCTTTTTAGTGACAAGTCCAGGACGTTTTGCTGGCCACACAGCAGGAACTGGGGACACTGGGATGCAAGGGGGTAGTGGTGGTCGTAGGGGGAGACCACCCAGCTCTCCCCCGTGCGCGTCCACACGCTGGCCTTATGGGCAACTCAACTTGGCTTCATCTCAACCCATCTTTGGCCATAGAAATATAATACACACCTAAATCCACACCTACGTGCCCTGGCACATCACACCTGGGGTGGAGGGTACAGAAATAGGGGTGCAGTGGGTTACCTGGGACGGGATGGAGGAAGAAATAATGATAAAGAGCATTTTTAGAGATTTACCTACTGCTTAAGCTTTGATTGATACCCAAGAAAGATTTACGCCCTGGCACATCGCTTTGGAGCTCGTCCTGGGGTGGAGGGTACAGAAATTGGGGTACAGTGGGTTACCTGGGACAGGATCGAGGAAGAAATAATGATAAAGAGCATTTTTAGAGATTTACCTACTGCTTAAGCTTTGACCCCATAGTGATACCCGAGGCAGATTTTGCACAGCTTATAAATGGTTAAACTGCAGAGGATCTTCTTTTAGAGAAGAAATGTAGCTATTTTAGCAACCATCCCAAATGGTTTCAAGGACTTAGTAAGATAAGAAAGGATGTAGGTGGCCCTGAGAACGTGGTGACCTGAGATAGGGATGCAATAAATACGGACATTGTCTGACACACAGGTGGTAGCAGGGAGATCATTAGTTTTAATGAGCAACTAAGCAGTTAGAGTGTTTTGCCAACACGAAAAGTGAGCCAAAGGCCAGGTGAAGAAGATGAAGATTGAGGAAGAACCGACCCTCACTCAAGACGAGGACCACCAGAAGGCACAACTAGGCATGCCTCAAAAGCTTATTATAATATGTAAATGAATTGTCAGAAATGTAATGAACGTGCTAATGTTTTCTTAGAATGACATTGACTATGTATATCTGTTGTGTATAAATTTAATTTGAGAACAGTATTTGAGGAGCACAACAGGAGGAGCCACCCCCTGTGCACCCGGTGCCCCAATAAAGACCGCCTGCTTTCTGAACTTCAAATTGAGTCTTGGAAAGTTTTATCAGCCCGTTTGCGATGACAATATATAATTTTTACAGGGTAAGATCCCTCCTATGTCCCCTTCACCCAGGAAGGTGACACACCAGCAGGCGCTTCCCACCCAAAATACCTGCAACCAAAACCCATTGCAAAGCGACGCTGTGGTTTTTCTACTTCACCTTTCTGGAAAGGTTTTAAGTTTCCTTCGAAATCTGATCACCCTTTCAACCATGACAGGTCGAGAGCCTCTTACCTCCTCCTCCTCCTCCTCCCCACGCCAAGCCCTTGGCAAGCCCGGCTTTCACACGCCAGCCCAGCTCGTTTATTATTTTGGAGGGGAGGTGGCAACATTCTTCTCCTCTATTTGGATTGAAAACCCAAGCCAGCCAGCCAGGCACCACGCCGGCATGCATTTTAATCCTAGACCAAAAGAATTTCAACTCTTCTTTCCTGCTTCTTCTTAGCAAGCCATTTTAAAGCTGCTGAAGTCGAGGGAAACAGATCAGTTTGGGGAAAAAAAAATTAAAAAAAATTAGGAAAAAAAAAAAGCACAAGTGAAAACTGGAGTTTATACCAGCTTTGCAAAGGTGTAGAATAAATCAGGGGAGGAGGGGGTGAGTCCCTGGTGCTTTTAGCTCTTTTTTGGGTGGGCAACACCTGATGGATTTTTAGTTGTATCTTTAAAATCCCAATAAAATTCAAGTATCCCAGAGTGTTTCAGTACTGCAGAGATGGCATAGCTTTGTAACTGGAAATGAAGAGACTAAATATTGCTGGTGTTTGAAGGCAGAGACAAGTAGATGCAGCTTGTTTTGCCCATATTCCTGTTCCCCCTCTGTGCTGAAGCTGCAGAGACTTTCACCCGGAGCGCAGGAAAACCGAAATAAAGATCAACTGGGAAGGGAACACCAAACACCAAACACATGCCCTTTGCAATAATTATTGGGAAGGGAACACCAAACACATGCCCTTTGCAATAATTAAAGGGGATCGACATCCTAAAATTCAAGTACATCAAATAAAGTAACCCATCCAAGTTCAAAGGTTGTATTCCCCATTGGAAAGAGGGACTGAAATTCCCATTGGAAAGAGGGGGGAAAAAAAAATCAGCTTGGCTACTGAAATCCCATTGCCAAGTGGTTTTTGGCTCAAAATTTGTGGCTAAAGGTTGACAGCCCTCGGTGTCAGCGTCCCCAGGAGCTGGGATGGCACCTTGAGCTGCTGGCACCGCTTCCTCCAACGTGGGGCTGGGGTTTTTTGGAGGTAACCTCTCTGGTGAGCCCTTGGCTCCGGAGCTGGCGGCGCCCAGGAGCCGGGGTGGCAGATGAAAGCGCCCGGTCCCGCTGGCTGGCACCCACGGTTACACCGACTACACCGCAAGTTACGGCACGATAAAAACTCACCAAACCTCAGAAAACTCAGCTTTGCAACTGCCTCCACCTCTCTGGGGGCAAACAAAGTCCCACGTCTACCCCTTTATTCTCTAAAAGTCTATTTTTTTTGCACCTTGCAGTCCAGGGGCTCAGGACAGACACCAGGCAGTGAAATATTGAGCAAAGTTGGGTGATACAAAGAGCCTGGTGGAAAAGCAGCCCATCCTGTAAAACAAACAACATTCCAGCTTCTACCTCTCCCTTGCCT